TGCTGAGACTCTTTAATTAAAAACAAAACCCAGTGGTACATAATTAATTAGAACTTACTGTCTGGTCATCTGAGCAATCTCCTCCTCATTTTTGTACCATTTAATTGTGGAGTCACTGAGAACATTGAAGAACTGGCACCACAGTTTCATGTGTCCCGAGACATCTGTGAAGGTTTCCCCCCGGATCTTACGAATTACCTGCGGAGCTGGAGCAGAGACACCCAGCACAGGTGACAATGTAAACACACACTGTTCTAGTTATCAGTCAAACATAATGAACCCAGTCTGATGGGTCTTTGCTATATATAGGCTACACGCACCGACCAGCTCTCCGTCGTCCTTTGCACAAACTGTATGTTAACTTTAACATAACTAGAGTATTACATGAAGGTGCAACTACACCCAGCCACTAAGTCACATTAGTCTCAGTGCTGCAGCAGGTGCAGGCTGGACAGTTGAATTGGCTGGACCTGTATTAAATAATGTCATAGGTATTCCTTCTTTATTAATAGTTCTATGTGAGGAATCTGTTTCACACTGTAGTTTTCTCAGGCTCATTTTCAGTCTACAGTGGGTGTGCCTGCGGTCCATTACAAGTCACATGACACACACATAATGCACTTATCAAACACAATGTGAAATTTACATCAGAGATACAGCAAAACCAATGAGTTACAAAATGCAGCATACAAAATTTTAAATGTTAAAAATGATTGTTCTTCAATGGAAAACACACAACATATCACCAGATACACAAACAAACCTAGGGACAATTTAGTGGGTCCAGACTAAACTCCACCTGCTCTGTGATCCTGACCTCAACCCTCCTGTTATGGTCCTGTTCCAGCTTGGCACAGGATTACTACTGACCCATAAACATGTATAAAATGTTTTGGTTACCTCCACCAGTGCACTCTTGCCTGCAGCTGACCATCTTTAGCCTGTGGACCAGAGCTACACTGACACATCAGCCTGGCTGATAATTCAGATGTGTATACGGTTTATGTCAGCTGCAGCCTAGAAATGCCAAACCAGGTTCGAGGTGATGTAGAAACATTTCCACATTACAAAGAAAGACACTGTTCAGACATGAAGGCCGCTTTACCTTTGAATGGGTCATGCTTGTCCCTCTCAGTAGGTTTCCCCTCATCCTTCTGGGTGTGGCTCTCCTCTGTGGGCTGCTGGCCTGGTGCTGGAGCCTCCAGTGCAGCCTTCCTCCGGCTCATCGGAGAACGTCTTTCTACAGGAGGGGTTTGCTCACCAGCCGGCTGAAGCAGAGGTGACCGTCGAGAGGGGCCTGGAGACATAGGGAGGGTCACAGGACTTGTGGAGAGCTTCTGAGTTTGGCTGTCCACCGCTGATGTGGCCTCTGTGGCCCCTGTGGCCTCCTCGGGATCATCCCTTGGCATTAGAATTTTGCGGCGGGCCCCGGAGGCCAACTCTTGTGGAGTAGCAGAAGGAATGGGAGAAACACAATCTCTTTTCTTTAACAATGGACTAGCCTCCGGAGTTGAATTAGTTAAGGAGTTATTTGTTGCATATTCCTCAGCCACAGAGCTGTCAAGCTGAAGAATACTCTCTTGTGTATCTGTGCTAAACACACTTTTAGTGGGAAATTTTTCTACACTCAAAGAACCGGTGTTTGTGTTGTGTTTTTCCATTTTGCATTGATCTGAAAATAACATTTCAGTAATCGCCCCTTCAGTTTCGCTGTTGAGTTTAATTTCTGGAATTAAGCTTCGTATTAATTCCATGATTTTTTCTGGAAGAGGTCCATCTTTGGCATGCTCTAGAGCAATTCCCAACTCCTGACTACTGGCATTTGTAGGAGTCCCAGATCCCAGAATGTCAGTCAGTGTGTCCTTAGATGTCAAGGGCTGAAATTGGTGTTTGACACTTTCACTCTCAGTCACTGAAACAACAATGTCCGTAAAACCGTCATGATCCTTTTTGGTGCTGCCATGAACACCTGCGGTCTCTACAGTGATGCCAGTGTCGGTGACAGAGATAGGAGGAATCACAGCCTGAACATGTGGTGAAGCTGCAGCATGAGGCTGAAGTACTGACTTTATGTTTGAAGGAGGAGTATGGTCAGTAGCTGTCTCCACATTTGACTGCTTCATTTCCAGTTTATATTTTCTCTCATCACCTCTTAAATCCTGACATGCCTCTCTGGTTGTTTGACTAGGCTCTTGTACAAAGTCAATATGGACAGAGTTTGGTAGCATGGAATCAAGAGCCTTTACCTGTGATCTCAGCTGTTCAGCGCTAGATATGACTTTTGATGCAGTGTTTGGAATTTCTTTAAAGCCTCTGATTTGCTCCAGTGAGTTTGTGTTTTCCAGATTATTTGTTAAATGTGGCATTGCAGTCTGTAATGTGTCTGTCTTCTGGTTCTGCAATTCTGAACTAATTATCAGTTCATTAGTGTCTTTACAAGATGCTTCAGCAGTGATAAAGTCTGCGCCTTGATCCACTGCATCCCTTGCCTTTTCTGTTATATTTTGCCCCCCCATATGTAGAGCAGCATTTTCAGTCTCCAGCTCGAGGATTTTCTCATCTGGTGCCACACTGTCATCTAATAACTTATCTACCTCCTCCCTCTCTGTATTCTCATCAACATTCATCTCTTCAACAGATTCTCCAACTGTATCAACTTGGCTTTGCACGGTGGTGGGTGAAACATTACACCCACGAATGTTCTCACCACCGGGGCTCTCAACAGATGACTTCTGTAGGTCTGTATAAGGGACTGTATGGCTTTCATTTGATCCGCTGGAATGATCCCATGCGTTCTGTGTCATCTTGTCAATGGGGGCTTGAAGATCATTGTGCAAAGATAGGGTCTTGTTGTCATCTGCTGTGGTCTCTCTTTCTGCCGGAGTCTTTCGTGGTGGCTGCATGTCCATTGCACGCTGGTCGGGTGGAAGCCCAAGGTTGACAGCTGCATCATTCCTGTTCTTCTTTGTATGGGCCTGTGTGTAAATGTGGAACATAACACAACCAGAGGGTTCCCATGCTGCACATACTTTGTCTTTTATCCCATGGATAAACACATGTAATTTTAAGAACAGCAAGAACGTTACCAGTAACAAACAGAGAAGGGAATGGGAAGACCACAGGGCAAAAAGAAATGATATAGATAGTGATGTATAAGCGGCATTTACTTCACCCGCTCTATTGGTAATGTTGGACAAATTCACATGGCTGGCAGTGAAAAAGGTTCAAAAGCTTGAATGCCATGTACATATTATTTATTAGTATATTAGTATTTGCATCTTTGTTAGTATAGAGTAAAGAAAAGCATGTAAACATATCTGAGGATGTCAAAATATTTCTTTTATATATCTACAGTGCCTTGCGAAAGTATTTGGCCCCCTTGAACTTTACGACCTTTTGCCACATTTCAGGCTTCAAACATAAAGATATAAAACTGTAATTTTTTGTGAAGAATCAACAACAAGTGGGACACAATCATGAAGTGGAACGAAATTTATTGGATATTTCAAACTTTTTTAACAAATAAAAAACGGAAAAATTGGGCGTGCAAAATTATTCAGCCCCCTTAAGTTAATACTTTGTAGCGCCACCTTTTGCTGCGATTACAGCTGT